CTTCCTCTTCCTTTCCTCATTTTTCCATCCACCTTCCCATCCTTCGTCTCGTTAGCCCAACCTCGCCTCTTCCTGACTGTGCATATCCGTAAGTACTCGAATATACGCGATGATCTTTACGAACGCGAATTCTAACGACATTCGCATTCGCGAAACGCATCGATATCTCCGAAGTAAATCTGAAACGTGCGTAAGTTTCAATTTTTCGAATACATAATCGAGACTGTTACCGAGCGGCCAATGGGCAACCAAGTCGACCGCGAAGATTCTTGTACAAAGTGTACGATTATTGTAGTTCTGTGAATGGAGGCGATAAGGAGCGCGTAGTTTCTTGGCCTGATAGCCCGCCTCCCCGTCGATATCGCCAACCGTTCTGTGCAGTTGTTTGGCGCAACGATTTCCGGTCTGCAGTTTGCGTGGACGATTTCGTCGATGTGTATCTGTTCCGCTTTAAAGGCAGCCGTAAATTGGAGGCGTTATCTGCACGGTAATACAGATTACGCGATTATCCGGGTGGAAAGTAGAGTTTTAAATACAGGGCAGCTGCGCGCTTTGTATCGCAACGTTAACCGTATGATTGCGGTTTTTGCGTCGAGCCATAGATACCGCGAAGATGATGCATCGTTCGTTGGAAACTAGCAAACTCTCTCGCGTACAACGCATTAGCGAGAAACGCCGCGGGTGTAAATTACGCGCCAATCTTACCCCGCTTTGCTGGTAACAATTTCAAATTATCACGTTACGGGTTTTTCTAGTCGCGCGCGAAAATTGCGCGAAATTGCGGCGACGTTTTTTCCCATCTCGCAACCGCTTGACACGAATCGCGCGGCGATCAGAAGCTCCACGATGATGGAAAGGTTTCCGCTCCGACCAAATACGATCGGATCGTTTCGACACGCCAGCACCGCGCTGCGCGCCGCATCGAGATTGCTGCAGCGCAGCGTCGCGAAAGGCGAAGGTTGAAGGTTCGCGACGCGACGGTATGATCCTTGACACGCGGAACGATATTCCGGGAGGACAACGTGGCGGAAAAGTGGCGAGGGTAGCCTTTAATGCTCGAACAGTCGCTTTGTTGTCAGTGATTTATGGGGTCTTATAGGAGGCACCGAGATGCCGACTGTCTAGCGTCATGGCATTTCGTATCGCAGTCACCTCGCTTCCGGGGTGTCGTGAATCAAGCGAACACGTCGCGAACACCGCGATTATACGAGCTCGCACGCAGGACACGTAGGGCCGTAGGTACTCTGTCGGGCTTTATAGTAGGTCTATACATCTGTAAAAGATCGGTACATTCGTCCAGTCCATTTATTGTCGGTGGCCAACAGTTCATAGCCCGCGATCTCTGAACGGCACAAGATTTACGAAGCGACTCCTCGCCAGATCAAATATCCACCGCGAAGATTTTTTCTCCTCGAGCAACCCTTCCTTTCCTTTTGCGACACGTTTTATGCAATCGTTTTAGCATTTAGTATTAATTCGTATGCAAGTTAAAATACTGAAAATCGTATTGTTACATGATACACCGCAAAGGGTAACCGCCAAGATGTAATCTTCAAAGAGAAGAATCGTATAAAGAGCTTTCAATCTTGACGAGTACCGACCAAAAGATATTCGAAACGCTTTTGGTAGTTTTAAACGGTACAGGATACTTAAAGCTGCACGTGTAATGAAACGAATACAAAGAGTCCGGCTGCAATTTTCACCGCTCCATTCCGGTCATAATTGCGGCAATAACTTTTCGGGGAAACATCTTAAGTTGGCGAACCGCGTGCGTGGCGGAGATACGTGTCTGCCGGCTGAAAGAATCGGCCAGACGATGCATACGTCTCCGACCGGGCATCCGGATACTTTATGGGCAACCATAAATGCGCGTTAAACGCCCAAACGTGTTCATTGTTCGCGGTTACGAAACGGATTCATTCTGGTTGCCCACCTGCCAGACTCGCGATGATTTCTACCGTCTGTTAATAGCATCGCGTCGAGACGTCCCCTAAAATGGCAGCGAACGAAATCGCGTGAATTGTGCATATATATTTAAATTTCAACAAAGTCTGGTGCGAATTTTCAGGTTTAATCGTCGTCTTCCAAATTATTCGAAGCTGAATGGAAGATGGTTAAATCGCATCGCTTAGATGGCACCGCAACGAGGTTGAACGATCGCTCGAATGGCTGCTAACGATCCATGACTCGTCGAAGCTAGTCAGTGTAGGCGTCAATCGTAGGCCAGCCGATCTTCGGATTAAACTATAGGACGGCGAGGAAAAAATCAGCTTGAACATGAGAAACGATCAGCACGAAGCCCCCAAGAGAACGGTGCTGCTCGGATGCTGCGTTTCTAAGATACGCTTTTATGGTTCGAGTCTCCAATTTCGAGTGTGCTTAGTTGCCTGTGTACCGTAAACGTTTGGACAAGGATGGTCAAACGGAGAATCAGCTTGGCGAAATGGGTGCCATCGCTCGTTCAAAGATTTCTAGATCACGATGAATCGTCGAATTGTATCGAAAGAGGAGGTGGAATACGGTGAAGCGTGCCCTGGCTGTTTCTACGATTCCCACGCCCACCACCGACAGCCACGAGACCGCAAAAGAGCACTCCAACCTCTAACCACTGATATTACGGAGGAAAAAGCTGGCCATGGGCCGATTTTATCGTCATCGTGGTCGTGGAATCGTTTTGCCAGCAATGGACCCTTTCATTTTCCTACTCACCCCCTTAAACGATCCATCCGATCCTGTTTTCATCGCATGCATTTCTTGTCGCCACGTATAAACGGATAAACAGAAACTATGTCCATCTTTTCAAACTTAATGGTTTCCAGTCCAATACATTTGTAGGTGTATCTCCGAGGATCTTTATTTCATTTCTGGACTTCGGCCAAACATGGAACTGTACAGTAAAGTGCGATATAAGCGGCGTTGCATAAATGTCACTGTTACAAGCGCGGGATTGTCTTTATCGTCTAGTAGCTTAATCGCGTAGCTCGTCCATTCGCTTCGGCGACTACGTCGTCGAAAATTTGCCGGATTTACGAGACGATCCGTAGGGTGGTTAAAGTCGCGTTATTCCGCTTTCTACGTTCCACCCACTCGCGGCTGCGAGTCGCGACGTCCGTGAAATCCTTGCTGCACTCTCCACCAGTTCGTAGCTCGTTGCTCGTTGCTGGAAATCGTTAAGTCGCGGGACCAACGACTTGCAATCGTCGACCCACGCATCGGGGACGTGGCGACACGTCGCTGCCACGCAGAGACCACCGTTTCGAGCCTGGACATCCCGCCAATTGCAAGCTTGTACCGATATTTTTTCACAATGAACCAGTTGATCGTGAATCATTGATGGACCTCGAGTGGTTTTCACTGTTTACGAGGAACAATTGAAAGATCAATGTAATTGTGGATATTTGCGTTACTTTCAACACTGATCAAAGTACACTTTCATCATATGTGGTTACGAACGCTTTTCATTTGTATTTCTTTAAGAAACTCAACTTTCATCACCCGCCAGATCTGTCGATAAAACGGAAAGACAATTTGGATAATAAATCATAATCTTTATGATGTTCGAGCTATAAAGCGCGGTCATGTGATAACAACGCGCCCAGCTAAATGTCATAACGCGTTTCGCAACATATCCGTTTTTATCTCGAAACGAATAGCAATAAACATATCTGTGCAATTTGTTCCCGTTATCAGCCTTGTTCTCGATCACACTTTACTGCGTCGACTTTTCCCTCCTGTCAGTTTAACGTCGAAACAGTTCAATTTTATGTTTAATTTATATAACGACAAGAAAGGTAACAGCGATAAAATCCTTAAAAACGGAAAGATATATATTTGAAAGCGCATGCATGTATTTTCATATAAAATTAAAGGATGTAACGATAGAAACACCATCGATTAAACTTTTTTTGTAGGTGGTGATATTTATGTATCATTCGTTCCAAGTGGTCGTATATTTACAAAACGGTAGTGCAGGTCATTATCGAAGGATACTGCGATCCGGCAGCATCATCCTTGTCCTCGTTACCGTTATCACCAGCGTCGATCTTCATTAACGTTCTCCAATATCACGCGTTCGACAAAAGAAACCGGATTTCGCATTCGCGTCGCTGACTCGGCGCGGACGTTTCTCGGTCAGAAAACGCGAGCCGACGTTCTCGCGTGATCTGTGCTAGAGGTGTCAGCAGGGAAACAGAAGCAATCGAGCCCGGTAGGAGTGGAGAAAAGGAGGAGCAGCGAGGATATATGAAGGAAGGATGACGGTTCCATAAAAGAAAATACTTGCCAGCACAGCTGAGTGCAAACACATGCTGTCGCTGATAAGGAGCCGTCCGCCACCCATCATGCCACCCATCACTGACCGCGCTCCAGCCGCTCCGATAATCCGCGAGACGCTTAATGATTTATTATTACTCCGTACGACACGACGAGAATCACGGAGATACGAACGCCATGATCCTTCCAGTTCCGAAAGCAATTTTGTGAGATAAACGGGGCGGCACTCGCTTGTTTCTGGGGAATAAACGATTCCTCGAGTGATTGAGATTAACTTAGGGTGCAATTGCCACCCGAGGGATGTGTGGCAACACCTACGCTTATTTTCTCCCAAGTCATTAACTAAATATTCATTCAGATTCGTAAAATTTATAAATTTCGAAGGGACGCGCGGTGCGATTTGACGAAAGTTGATATCGCGTGATACCGAGTTAGCTCGAGATGAGCTAACAGTGGCAGTGGCTAATAAATATTTAACGCGTGCATTTGAAGATATCGCGTGGATAACTATTCGAGGAGAAGGCAAATTATGAACGTTCACCTTCTTGCAGGACAGCGTTTTCTTGCTGGAAGCGATTCAAGAAATTGCCTGACGACGAATATCTGTCGTCGAGGCGAACAACCTGGGCGTGGTCTTCAAACAGGCAAATATAATTCCAGTGGCATAGTTTGCTCGGTTGAATTCAGCCCTTTCAAGGAAATATCATCTTCTTTGTAAAACAGTTTAACACCTTTGAGAACGTTTATTTTTATTGCAGAATATATATAATAAGAATAATGTACTACTATTCTTACACGTGATCCTCTTATATCACGCTGACGCGATTCGAACACTGAAACGATTCTTCTTCTACGATCGAAAGAGAAGTTTCAGGTCGTACGCATTGTTATAAGAGCGAGAATGTAATTTATATACAAATACTGTCTGTTAAGTATCTACAAACTCGATACGTTTTTTCAATTTGAGATTCATCAACGTATCGTTTGAGTGATAACAAATAATCGTCGACTCCTTGAAAACATTTCTTTGCGAAATCAATGACATTAGGTGATATATTTAACAGAATAAACGTCGATTGCCTGCGAACACGTGGTGCAATCGTTGTTCGAAATTTCAGCAAGAACAAATTGCACTACCATTCATCCACAAAACTCAGCGCGTTTTCCATTAAGTTAATATATATATATGTATACTTTTTTTGTCGCGAGTGGCTTGCATCGAATCAAGCCAGGAACCGATCCTTTCGCTTAAACTAATAGCGTCGCGAGAAGAGCGAGTTAAGAAATCGATTGAAAAAAAAAAAAAATACGTCCGTATTTACACGTTTCGCAATTCAGGCTACAGTCCTGAACGACTAAGGGAGAATGTCCTCAAGTTAATTATTCATCGATTCAACGAGGAACTTGCTCATCCGCGACGCGGGCAAATTCGGACGCGTATCGCGCGTTACTCGTCGTCCATTGGCATTGAGCATATTCCATAATCTCATACACCAAGTACTCCTTAAATTAATTGCTCTACTATGTACACGTGCGTCGGATAACAATGGTCGATTTAATAGAAAAGACTTGAGCTGCTGCGCGTTTCAACAAATTGCACAGTTCCAGTACTCGAGTGTACTTTATCTTAAGAAAACAAAAGAGAAAACAAACAAAAGGAAATGTAATTAGTTTTTCTCGTTCAGTCGAATTTGTTCGTCGAACACCACTTGCTCTTCATGCTCACAGACTCGTGTACGTCTCTCGTATTGATAACAAAGAACAAAAACAGAAAAGAAGAAACTATGTAACAATTGCAAGTAATTATGAAATAACATGGTAAAGATCGCGTGTTGGATCGTTGCACATCTTCTCGCTCGTTCTCCGACGAGGAATCGGAATTCCAGTTGGCCGCAATTTGACGCAAAGTGTATCATCGAGTATGGCAAATATGGCAAACGTTGCGTACACCATTCCAATGCGAGCAACGAAGGCTGACACGACGCGTTTCGTGTAATTCGCGAGCAGGCTTGAAAACGTCGAGTCTACGTACTTGTGTCGCATCGAATAAATATACAGTTGACGCTGGCAAGCGAGAAAATCTTCCACCCGGACCGCAAGAATCGCGAAAACGACGAGTCATGTCGCGTCTCGCGACGATCAGATTTATTTACAAACGTAGCTCATCCATTCTATTTTCTCCTACTTCTAAAACGTTCGATGCACTCGATAACTCGGCGGAGAAGAAAAGATACAGGAAACGCCTCGGAATTCAATATCACAATATCACATGATACGCGAAAGCGAAGCACACGCAACGAGAACACATCCCCGTTCCCTTTCGATCTGTCGTCAGAACGGTACAATTTCTAATAACGTAATCATCGTTTCGCGACGTTTTTCGTAACGTCGCTTACAAACCTCTCTTGCTACCGCGTTATTGCACGATGAGATAACGAGCGTCTTCGACGATTTCGATCCTCTGTCCCTAGTAATTACACCACGAACGTCTCTAACCCAGGTCATGGAGCGACTAACGAGCAAACTTCTTTGATCGAAATTCTCGTACGCATAATTTAGGGATCGTATTTACAGCACAATCGTTCGAAGGTCCGCGGGAGAACGCATCAGGACGAGCCGGAACTGATCAATAAAAGAGTCCCATTATCGTTTCACGGGATTTCGCGTGAAAATTACTTCCTACTCTCACCGTGCGCGGGAACGCACCAAGTCATCACAGCAATGGACGGAGTCGGATTTCAGGCAAGCGCGACGATCGAGTCGTGTGCACGACAGCAAGTTTACGACATCGTTCCCTTGGAAAATAGTTTCTTCGGTCAAACGTACACCTCGCCGCGTTTGCTTCCGGCGACAGGTGCCTGAGTCGGTGCGACGGTGGTCGCCGAGGTGGGCGTCGTACCGAGCCCGCCTGCTAGCGTCGCGTTCGTACACGACACGCTGCTGATCTTCCTCGAGTTATCCTGTATTCGATGAATAGGTCTACAAAGGTCGTGGCCGATGCTGTTAGTCCTTGGTCGAACGTCCTGATTCGCGTGCACTAGCAGCCTGTCTATGTTGGGAGGTTCGTGACCGTTCGATACCGAAGCTGCACGATTTTCCCTCGGTTGAAGACCCGGCGAGTGCGGGAGAGACATGCTTCTGTCCTCCCTCGATGGTAAAAGTGGTGGACCAGGCAAAGAAGCGGATCGTCTGCCTCGTGGGTCGTTCACCGTTTTGGTGTCTTGCACGATGGGTACCGTGGTGACCATGTAACCTAATTTTTCAGGACTCATCAGGATCGGAGAACGATCGCTATAGCTGTCGAAAGTAGGTGAGCTACCACTGCTACCTAGACGACTAGCTGCCTCTCCGATCAATGGAGTGCTCCTATCTTGGTTTATCAATGGCGTGGAACGTTCTTCCTGGCCGGTGATACTTCCGCTCCTGCTACTGGAACTACCGGAACCCTCCTCTTCGCTGCTGTTCACCTCGGTCAATGTGGCTTGAACGTTGCTGGCTGTGTTGCTCGGCTTGATCATCGGCGCGGAGGTCGTCGTCACTAGACCGAGCTGCGTCAACTGACTCATCGTGACGGGGGTCAATGTGACTGGACCTACCAAACCAGCGCTGGTCAATGTCGGCGAAAGAACAGCCTGCGCCAAAGCGGCTGCACCCGATTTTCCGGTCGCCGGTGTGCCCTCGGCTTCTTGAATCGTCGACAACATCACCTGTACCACAGGTAGGTCGGTCTGATAATGTCCATTAGCTGGTATCACTCCGACGACACCGGCGCCTATGTTCACCGCGTTGGTCGCCGACAAAGCCAATCTCTGTTCACGGTCGACCACCTCTTTCGTCACATCCGGAGTTGGTATACGGGGTCTGTTCTTCAGGGATACCGGTACCGAGTTCAGTTTAGTCATGGTACCTGCAAACGGAGGAGACGAATTAGCCTGGCTCGTTAAGAGGATTAAGATTATTCCCGTCATCGACAGGAAATAACTTTAGCTTCGAGGCTGAAGATGGTTGCCCATAACGTGATGGAACGAGGAAACGAATCTTTCTATTATCATCCATGAATCAAAGGACAGGTCGAATGAAACTCGCGACTCGATCGTAAAATTGCTCGGTGATTTTCTTAGATCGGTTTCTTTTTTCTTCGATAGCTGGTGAGAGGAACGGGTGGAGAAAGAAGCACAAGGTCTTTGGGAAAGGTTTTTTCTATTTTTTCTTGAGAAGCACGGTTCGCAATCGCGGAAATTGTTCAGGTTACACAAGGTTACGCGTTGCATAATACTGATGCGTCTGCGAACGAAGGTGGGGAAAGCGTTCGAACGTTCGCGAGACTTTCATTGAAAGTTCTTCTCCTGTCGCGTTGGAATGCGTGACAGTGAAGATCGCGGAGAAGCGTTTGGACATGTGCAGTGAAGAATACTTGGCATAGCGTGTTTTTCTTCGCTCCTTTTTCCTCCGTCCCGATCTTGTACCACTATTGATGGAACATACTTCGTTTGCTAGGAATGATTTCGCGAAAAATTGCCTGCATCAATTTATGTACTGAAGAAATACGGTTACTCGCGTGGGGGTATTACGTAAGATTGCATAATTATAGTTCAGAAGACTTCGGAATTAACGTCATTTTGCCTAACGCGTTTCGAGAACCTCCATCGTTCATGCCTAGACGGTCGCGCATTTCATGGAATTTATGACTCTTGCGATTTTTATTTCTTGTTACGAGTAACAGGAGATTATTAATAGAATTTGAATAAAGAATTCTGATTAAAGTAAGGAAATGAATAATGGCGTGAAAAGTTAACGTTTTCGCGTTTACATTGCAATTTCTTGAATGCAATTTCAAAAGAAATTGAAAAGAATGCAGTCAGGCTTAGTCGTATCGAGGTACTTGCCTTGCCTACCCATTCTTTGACTGCGAACGCTTTTCCGCCCGACTAATCGGTCGTACAAAGACATTTTAAGGTTCGGATTGTTTGTCTGTGGGAGACCTCCAGTCTCAGGGCTGCTGTAAACGCTGTTGTGACGATTTCTCGAGAAAAATCCACCACCGCTGCTGTAAGTGGTCGAAGAACTTCGGACAGAGCCCATTCTGGTGATCTGTCGTTGTAGCCAATTTTTCCTTCGTTCCACTAACGGAGTGTCGACGCTTTCCTGTAATAAATATCGGGAAATAACGTGAACTTTTTATCGAGTATCGATGTGAATAATAATTGAATAGAGTAGCGGAAATCTAAATGGTCATTTGAATATCGAATTATTCAAGTTCATCTCGTGACGTGCAGATACTTACGTAATCGGCGTACATGTCATCCTGGTGGGTCTTGCGATGCTGAACGTGATTGTGAATCTGCGTACCAAGCATCACGTTCGCATAAAGAGCATCGCTTTCTTTCACCTTATAATGCTCCGCCGATCCCTTCGGTTCTTCGCGTCGATATTGTTCGCTGGCTACCGTGTAAGGTAAATCCTTCGGCACCACCTCGTCCCAGTATTGATCCTTCAACAATTCTGGGTGCTCTTCGTGCATTTCGTCGACGATCATGTATCCTGCCTGTTAAACGCATCAGTGACGATTATATCGATTATTCGAATTGCTTTGTGATTTTTACGTTAGATTGCTGCACAAACAAGCAGTTAATTTTCCCGGAAATTTTACTTGGAATATTGAATTACCTGTTTCTTATCGTCATCTATAACGTAGCTTTCTAGTTAAGCAAAATTTTTCAATTTTTCCTTCAACTAAATTATATGTTGTGGGTGTTTAAATGGATGATAAGGAAGCAATTCCCGGTGTTGTTTTTTCCTACCTTTATGTGTCGATCGATCAGCCAATTCAACTCGATATCGTCGTCGTCTTCGCCGAATGGATTGATCAACACCTCGGCGACTTTCAGCCAGCCGACGTAAAAGCAGAACTGTAACGAACGCGTCGAATTGATCGATATGCCGCAAATTGAACGGTTTTTCAAGAGAATTTATGGGACAGTCCTTTGCTCACCTGTAGCGCGGTGAAAAATGGGAAATACATGTCTGGCTCCTCGTATTTCCCGCCTCCGGCGTCGGTCCGCTCGATGAATTGCCTGCCAAGCAAAGCCGAGAAGAAGTACGCGTACAAAGACAGCGTGACAACCTGTGAAACACAAGTAAACAAACGTTGAAACCCGTGATGAGAAACGTGCACGCGTTAATTTTACGATAGTCGTCGTTAATTTCACGAAGCGCCGCAAAAAAGAAGCAAAACAAACATCGCGATTACGCGATTGTTAATCAAATAGCTGTCGGTAACTGTCGGCGGGGAACGGGCAGATAAATTAAACGACAGAAATTCGCAGATATACGTCGATTGCATCGTCTTACTCGATTCTCGGAATAATCGTTCCGAATACTTTTTGCGTATGAAGAAACGCTTCTGCGTTTGTATTTAAACGCATCAAAGGGTTACAATGCAATCGAGGGTTAACGAGAGGACATGTGTTCACGTAACAGCGTGACGTTCACCGAAAAATTGAGGACACGATGAAACTGTACACGCAGGTAAAAAGGGTGTGCAGTTTCAAACGGGATCGCTAACTTGGAGGATGCTTTTTCTCCCGGTTTCACCCTTTCGTCACACTTTACGCGAACGAACGAACAGGTTTGAATTAAATAATATCAAGGTTATCGAGAGCAGCGCCTTTCCTCGTCGAAGGCCATCAGGAAACGATATTTTATGCAAAATCTTGTCGAGAATAATGCAACGAGTCATCGATGTTTTGCCTTTCGACTTTGATCGTCGCCTCCGCGGATATTTGAGGAACATGCTCCGCCGAGTGGCTGCGAAATTATTTTCGCTGCAATTCGCGCGACACAGGATTGCAGCTCCGCTCGTTTATCGTCCTTGACCATGCAGTTTGCATCGCGTTTGCGATTTGTGCACGTATCAGCAACATATTACTAGACGATAAAAGTTAAACAAGCATCTTAAAAAGATTGAAGAGTTTTTGCCGATACCACTGACGTTTAGAAGATATCGTCTAAAAATTATTGACTAGTTGCAGTTTCAGAATGATCGGGTTTACAACGAGGTACTCATTCATCGACAAACATTGAGTCATCGATTACGAGTTAATAACCACAGAACGGAAAATTCAAAGACGCTGAACAGTTAGAAGAGAAAAATCGTTCGAAGGATCGATTGATTTTCCTCTGACACGAAGCAATACGTCTGTCGTCGAGAATCTGATTATCGCTTATATTTAGATTGATCGTGAACGATGAGGCAAACCGTGCTCTTAGTCAGCGCATAAAACGAGGCTGATTTTCATTCGCTCGTGCGGTGAACATAAATTAAGCGAGTAACAGAATCGCGTTTCACGTTTGCTTATCAATCTACGCGGAAATGCCTGGAATTCTTCGCTTGGAAATAGAGCAAATTCGAAAGGCGGGAAAACGCGTTGCTTTAGATAAGCGAGATTCATGCTGAAAGTGTTCATCGCGAGATTTCGACAGATAAATTAACCAAGTGAATTAAGGGGGAAAATAGAAGGTGTTTAGTAATTTTCACTGTGGTACTTTCGTGTTGAAACAGCAATGCGACGAGGCTTACTAACTTCTTCCATCATATAAATCGTAACACCTTTCTGAATTTCTCAAAATTACAAAATTTTGTTAAGGTGCTTTTGTTTCTACCCTTTGTTTAACTATTTTTCAACCCGTTCGACCACGCGTGTCCATCTTTTCAGCGGCGGTGGAAGTGTTAATCTCGCGAAAATGATGGCGTCTATGGTCGACAATTAGGAAACGTAGGTTGATGAGCAATTAACGAATGCGAAACGTCTTTCCGAGAAAAGGTCCGTTTCACTGCAACGAATCGAGTCCTTCGAACAAGATAAAGAAGTTGGATCGTGGATTTGCGTTAACACCGATCATGGACGTTGGTTAGAGCGTTACTCCGAGATTAAACGAATGATTTGTAGCCGAAGAACGGCCTCCACAATTGCTCGTGCAGTCTTTTAACCATGATATTATGTTGCAACCAGGTGACGTACTTTCTAACGATCCTTAATTACTTTGAAGCTCGTCAATCCGTTGAAATGATTTAGTCGAGCTAATAAAACCGGATCGTTTAAAAGAACGTTCGTTCTTCTGACGCGTCCTTCCGATCGTTGAAAGTTTCGCAAAGTTTCAGGTGAAATACGGTTGGAAAGCGAAGGTCTTTGGTTATTTTTACTTTTTCGAGAATCTATGTGGACGAGTAAAGAGTGAGGAGAAATAAGGATTACGTATCAGTACGGTAAACGGTTGTCAACGATAACAAAAGCGACGAGGTGGCATTGATGAGAATCAGCTCAGGATGAAGATGTTCTTTCAAAGAACTCGGTATTTCTCAATGACCGTAAACGTCCTCGCAATTATCCGACTTGTCGGTGATTTCTGAATGAGATTGAAAAGAGAACGATGCGTGTCGTTGTTCCCTGACTGAATCTCTTAATCGTTTGAAACGCTCGCCGGGATAAAGAAATCAAATGTCTCGAGATGGTATCTTTAAACCATCTATTTTAACAACGTTTCAACGCTAAATTACCCGTCATTCCACAAACAGCAACCTGTAATCTCACTCTAGATTCACCTTTTAATTTATTTTCCAGCCAACCCGTCCGTTCGGACTGTTTAATTTCGTCGCAATTCCTCTAATTATCATAAAGAAAATTAACGCGTTTTCTCTTGCATAATTAATATAATTTCGATGCTAGTCTTTATTCAAAATTTCTATTTACTATCTTGCAGAATATCTTTCAAACGAAATAAGGGTCATGGTTCGATAAAAATGAAGGACCCACCTGCGTATAAACGAGAGGAACACAAACGGTGTCGTAACCAATGAGTGCGCCAAGCCTCTTCCGGATGTCGCTCAACTCGACAAGGAGGGTTTGCACTACTTGGTCGCTGGTGATCAAAGCTTCCCTCCTGGCTCTGTTGATGATGTTCGTCGCCCAAACCAACGGCATCCAATACTTGGACATGGCCGCTTTCTTGTTCATCATCTCGAAGATTTTCTTCTCCGACTCCATCATCAGACCTGCAAAACAGCAACGATACGGATCACTCGTTATTTTCGCTCGATCGAAACTTTCGATCGGGAAGATGGAACAATAACCGAGAACTTTCTCCGAACCAAAGTATTACCATTAAAGACAAACCGATGTTCGATTGAAAGATTCGATAGAATTGATTGGCAGATGTTTATCGATAGGAAGAAAGGAAGAATTGTTTATTAGCCGATGATGCAATGATTATGCAATTGCCTGCAGCCATTCACGTGACACTCTCGTAAACAGAAAACACGTGGATAACGATGCACATTGCACGTAGAGAAGAGGACAAACGAGATTACGCTATTAGTCAATCGACGATCGTCCTCTTTTTTAAATCACCGCGCGAGAATCGTTTGCGAGCCATAACTTCGCAAAATACGGGCTGAATATATTTTTTCGAAATAAAATCGAACGTTCGCGGAACGAATGCTAAGTTGCCGGTTTCCGCACGGAATTCTCGTTACGTGTCTATTATATAACATTTTAACCGATACCTCCAACAGCGAACTAGCGTTGCACATACAATTAACTACATCACAGAAAGTGTAGCAAACTTCAGTGAAACTCTGCGAATAATTGAGGGTCCAGGTTCTATAATGAGGTACGCGCGAATTTCGGCGCATAAGTATTGTCCAACGTCGAAATTTTAGAAATGTCTTCGATTTTTATTTTGAAAGTTCGTATTTGTAGAGAATTTCATTGCGCGTCTTTGTGTATTTGAACTAAATTTGTAGCTTTTTTTCATTTTTGAGTTATTGACAAGAAACATAATTTATGAAACGATAAAATTTAATTAACTTTTTATCTTCGTGTCGCCATAAATTGGTCAGATATTAATATTTTTTGTTGAAACTTGGACACAACGTTCTTTAACATATTTTACTTAACATATTTTACGAAACATGTATAAAAGTTTCAAAACATTCCAAAATTAATTACGGAATTTTTAAATATATTGTTTTTAAAACCTTGAATGTCGTTCAATTATAAAAGTTGTGTTACGGACTTTCAAATCTCGATGGATTGCTGTTACAAATATTGTATCTTCAAAGAAAATTTTTTGAAAAGTTTCAGATCTTCAAAAGTTATAGTAGAAACGTATAAGCGAGTTGAATACTGGGATATTTCCCAGTTCGCCCCTCAATTTCGTTCGAGAAACTTTGGCAAACATTATGAAACCTAGTCCACAAAATCTCAATTTTCCAACATATTCTTATCGATATCAGTTTTTCTTCCTTCCCAGCAATTCCATCAGCCAATTAACTCTGTTATCTATCCCGAGTTTGTATCCTATCGCAGCTGGGACACCTTCTTGCTCGTCTCGCGATACGAGATCGAAGCGTTACGCGACGTTTCGTGTTTTATGGATGCAACAGGTACGCTGTATCGTGTAGGGACAGTTTAACGATGCTCGCGGTGGCAAAAACGACGTTAAAAGTCGCTACGAACCACGGTCGATTGGTATCCGATCGAGTAACGGGAACTCGGTAATTTCTCTCCAGAGGGATATTCTTTTTATTGTTAGAACAGAAACGGGCGCGTATCCGTAACGAAGCTAGAACACGACGGCGCGGTGTCCGAAAAAAACGCGACGCCTTCCTCGATACGGCCTATCGAAATAACTCGTGGCGTCGCTCGGACAAGTAGCCGCCACGAAGAAACCGTCTGCACGATCAAAGAAACGCAAGTGACGACGTCCAGTTATTAATGGTGGCACACATGTTACCTGGTGTAACGTTCGAGCAGGTTCAGGTAATGACCTTAATAGCAAAAACCAACGCGCTTAAACTGCCGTTGAAACCAATATGGTTCGCGGTATGCGTTCCGATTGTGGCGTACACGTTTCGGTGATGATCGATTTTTTCTTCATTTACCTTCGTTACAGCCAAGAAACTCGGAAATTTACGTCTTCTCCTACTTAACTGATAACTTGCATCGAATTAAAAACAAATTACTATAATTGCAATCATTTGGAATAGAATTGTTTTACTTAGAATTCCCATCGCAGTAATTTTTATTATTACCCTCTTAGCGCGAAACGATTGTTTCTTAACGAGTTATTCGATGGAAGAACGGAGGTAAACGGTAGTCGTCAGCCGAGCATTTTATGCCGATGGATCGGTTCGCCATGATATCGATTCAATCGATATGCAATCGGCTCTTTATTCGGCGTGCACGGCCTTGATGCAATCGCATGGTCACATGGTTTTTATACAATGAGTTCGAGAATTTGCAACGATAACTCATCGCATGACTCACGTCAAAGTCGCGAATGCAACACGCGAACGTACCGAAAGTATGGCGAGTCAATGTTACGCTTAACGTTCAGTCGATTACACGGACGAAAGAAGCGAATGATTAGGCACGAACACTTGTTGAACTAATGTTTAATGAGAATTTTTTTTATGTGGCATGAAGCATGTTTATCACCCCCTGTTGCGTAGATCCGCGTCACGCAGGTTGATGTCACGAGGACGAAAATATCTTTTCGAGAAAAATAAATGTGTCCCGGGAACAGCAGCCGGTTAATTTCAGGTTTTCCTCGATTAAAGAAAATATTTGACTTTCCTGAAACGTAATCGCTTTCACGAACAAGATATTCGGGCCGAAAGTACGCGGAGATGGTCGTTCGAAATTAATTTATATCCACTTTTACGACAGATCCGAATTAACAACAATGCCCATTTCGTTCGAAAAATGGTGTTTTGAATCGACGCGATTCTCGAGAGGAGTTAGTCGACGGATTTCGAAAGAGGTGGCAGTGATTTCATGGCGATAAACAGTCGCTAACGAAACCGAATCAACGTTAATTATGAAAGTATTCGCGTGTACGCGGATTGGTCCTTGACGCAAGTCATTTGCACCTAACGTATGTAAGTCGGCAACATGAGTCGTATGCAGTTATTGCGAGTTGAATGTACACCGGATCGAGCAGTACGCTAATCGTTATTAATGACACGATCGGACGGCAACAAAGGCGGTAAAATCCTACAATGACGCGAGACTCCATTATCATTTTAATCGGCCAGCAAGCACGCGTGTGATGGATAACAGTCTCGTGCATGATGAAAACAAAAGCCGTTTGATTACCAGTTCACTGGGGTAGATACAAGCATACATTTAATAACAACAGTCCTATCTATTCATATTCTCATTCAATTTATTTGTTTTTTATTAATTTCCATGTTCGTAATGGTAGAAAATTACATCGGTGTGCAACAGGTATCGGCAAGTTGAGCGTGTGTAACGACTCGAACGGCGAAGAAAAGATTGTACTCGTTTATGGAGGATGTTTACCTCTCGAAAGAGCATCAGCTGAAGACGAAGATAAGCGCGAGAGCAAGCGGGAGCAAGGTACGGAGCAGTTGGATGCACAAGTTGGGCTCAAAGAGGAGAATGCTTGCCGGGGTCAATAAACGCGAGGATCCTTGCTTGGCTGGCAAGGTCGCGACGAAGGTAAAAAATCAACCGTCCTCCCTCCTTCTTCTCATCCTTGCCTGCTCGATCAACCGAGCCGGACCGACGCTGAAAAGCATCCTTCGGAGAAAACCAGTCCCTCGTCCAGTTCGTACGTACGCCTTTAAGCGTGCTCCACAACGCGCGCGCCATTCGACCATCATGTTCCGTATATTCGTTTTAACTCAACGATTTGTTGAGACTGTAAATGTTCGTTACGCAGGTGAAACCAACGTCGTCGATCGATCGATCGTCGAACTCTGAGAGTTTTCCGAACGATCAGAATCGCGATCGGACACGTAGCCAAGCACGTTGCCGATCGATCGGACGCTTGGCGCCGGGTGAAACTGGACTGATTAGGAAATATCCGCGCGTAATTAGAAGCGGGCAAGTTTAAATAATTGCGGGCACACGCGACCATGAATGCGCGCTGGGTGTCAAATAGATCAGCTGGCAAAGAGAAAATCGTAGCTTGTCCACGCCCGAACCCAAAGGCGTGTACGCTCGACTATTCGCGCACGTGTACCGACGATAGTCACGACAAGCGACGCGTCATTAACGATTTCACTATCAACCCGATCGACGAAAGAAGGTTCGGCCTGGAGAAATTCGTTGGAACCTTTCACGGTCCGACGACGCCCTGAGAAAATATCATAAAGAATAATTTAAATCTGCAAGCATCGATTTAGATAAATCGCATCTCTTGAAACGACCTATTAACCGTTTCATCTGAAAATTTTCAGATTATATTAAATATTATTGTTATATTTGGGAACGAAACAGATGTTGCGAGTTGCAACACTTGAAATACATTACTTTCAATTGCTCGAACACGAAAGACGTCGAGCTTCACCCGGAAACTCGCCTCCTCTCTGACGCACGCGAGGTTCGCGAAACAATAAACGGGGAATAATGAAAGTAATAAAGAAAAAAATACGATTGATTTACACAGATGCGAAAGGTATGTGTTGTTAGTCATCGACGTGTTAATCCGATGTGATCACGTGAAATAAGCGTTCGAACGAGAACTTTGGATACACGTAGTAAAGTAACGTACAAAGGGAAGAAAGTTTCCTTTCGTTTCTTCACTCTTCTTCGCGTTCAGTTGCATACAGACAGAATCTAACCTTCCTCAAGGCTGACCTCGATCGCGTGAACCTTGAAACGAAACGCGTTTTCCAGGTGTTTCGAAAGCTCAAGAGCACCTATAACTGTTCGCGTAAAGGTCAAGGAAGCAGAACCGGTGGGCTAGGGTGTTCCGTTAATTTCAGCCTCGATCGTTTCACGCTGTCGAACAGACGCTTTTTCTCTCTTCTTGTTTCGAAGAAGATGAAGAAGAAGAAGAAGAAGAAGAAGAAGAAAAAAACTTTACAGCGGGTTTGATCGTGCGTTCAATCAGCGTTGAATTTACGCGTTACCACCTTGCAATTCAACGGCAGCTTCCGTTCCCAGCTGTAACCTCGGTTTCGCGGTATTGTGCTCGTCGATTTACCACGCGCGTCGACACCTCTTAAATCCGACGATCGTAATCCGCTCGAACATACTGCGGCGTAATTATTTTCTTGCTGGTCGATCGCTCGATACACTAATAGCGGTGAAACTCTGCTCGGAACAATAATTTTCAGCTAAATATAGGCAGCGCGTGCGACGTATTACGGACGACCGAGGGACGATGGATGACCAGGACCTGCGTGTACACGAAGACGGTGCTAAGAAGAAGTGAAAGAAGAGGAAACGGGTTCTCGAGTTTCTTGCTGTTGGTCGTGGTGCCCGTTCAGGAGGACAATGACGACCACGGCGACGACGACGATCTTGAGGATAATGATGATGATGGCTCGTTCCAGCAGCGGCCACTCTCGCGAGCCGGAGCAGCATCTATCGCGAGCATGATACCCGCTAGTCTGGCCAATTACTACCTGTAGCCAGAGATAGATTATAGCTTTCATTATGTCTGGCTATATTTAATGTCGTCTACATTCGTGTCCTATAACCTGGCGACCGATAGAGTCGGGCAAGTTACAAGCAAAACAACATCGGAACGGTATTTTAACCACGTAGCAAAGGGTATAGCCGGATATGATGATCAAAAGTGCCCCCAAACGAAATTCGACTTGCAATGGCTCATTCGATAGCTTATCTAGTCCGTGCCAAGTTTGGGGGGCGCGAGGGTAGTAATGGGCAAAAATGTAAAACACATGTTCTATTCTATAGTAGCTTTGCACCGGCTATACCCTTTGTCAAAGTCTTCAACTTCAGAGAACTCGAAGAGTCTCCGAAAACGAACTGATAGCGGATTCACAGCGAACCAATCCACCCTCCTCCCCTTTTCTAATTGATCGATTGTCCAATTAAAATTCCTCGACCGATCGATGAACAGGATGCATACCAGTTTCGGTATGTCCTCAAACCCTTGATGAACATAGTTGCGATGTCGACGAAACGTTAGAAGCGCATTCCTGCCGGACCCGGAAACCTCGAACTGTAAGTATCACAGTGAGTATCATAATAACTTGTATCGTGAAAGGCTGAGAACTCTTATTCGGTACAGTCGCATGGCACCGTGTATAGATGCCTACGGAATCGTTTGCTCTTGAAACCTTAATCCGTTCGTTTTCGATGAAACGAACCAGATCAAAGGAACGAAGAGTTCGCTTAATTATCACGAGTTACACGACGATCATGGGAAAGGCAAGGTCGTTAAGAGGTATGATCAACGTGGTACAGTATACTTAGCGAGCTAATGTCTGCGACTAATAACGTACGGACCGATAAATCGGGAAACATTCGAGAAGATTGTAGCCGAGCAGATGTAACGGTGAAAATCAATGGCAACGAGGAGAGGTCGTGACGTTTGATGAAATCGGCGTGGCGCCTGAACGAAACGGAATCGAGACAAACGAAACTCATCGAGGAAATCAAAGTCGGTGATTATCTTATCAAATTGCACAATATCGGTGCACCGTTGATGTTCTGTAATTACCCCGGGTTATTTCTATACTCGCACGAACAGGAAGAAAATAGAAAGAAAGAGATCGGCTCGGCGAGGAAAGAAAAAGCAACGAGCACGAGGAGATCAAGCCAGTCAGAAGAAGCTTGTAACGTCCACTCGCTTCGGCTCCGGGAATAGATGGTAAACTACATGGCGCTGGTCCGGCCAGCGAGTACACCGAACAAAACGAGCAACACGCCAAGAAGGAAAAGGAAAAGGATGAGGAACTGGCGCCGGCGCTCCGCGTTTCTAAGCGGTCTCGGCTCGCTTCTTGAAAATTACCCGGACGCACGTGAAAATTGCCCGGCGGCGCGAGTCGAGTCGTTCGATTTACGCGCGCCGCGCCGTAGCGACCCAGCTCTCGAGATTCCTTCGAACCTCTTCGTAATTTCCAGCTCGCGATCCTCGCGAAATTGGTACACTTCGTTCATTCTAATTACTTCAGAAATCTCTCCCGGTGCCTGTCGCGTCTTGACATTCGAAAGCTTGCCAATGATATTCCCGAAGGTGTACTTTAATAATCATCTACCCCTATTTGTTCGTTTACCTGCAATTACCTATATCCACCTTCGTTTACATACGCTTTCATTCGTCACGCGTAACGTAACGTTCTAAAATTAAAATCGACGAAACGAGTACCTCCGTTATCAAATGATTAACACGTTACGTGTTTCGGGAACTTACGAGGCCGCTAACAAGGATCCGCGGTTCTTTGAACGTATTTTTCAACTAGCCAATACAAGGTTTCGCGTCAGCAACGATTTGCATCCGCGTGTTTCGCAAGGTCTCGCGAAAGTCAACGACCATAACGGTTACGTCGCAATGCGACCCGTAAATAGAATCGTTTGCAATTTGAATGTTCTAAAATTTACTGTCAACCGTAAGTTGACTTCGATTCAAATTCTTTAGCGAACGTGACGAAGAAAGAGGTATAAATAGAGTGGTCGGTTTGCGTAGATCGTATCAAATTTTTCGCGTATTCATATTCTTGGACCGACGGTCAATCTACCAAAAAATAGAAACTTTTTCAAAACACGTTATTTGTCCCGGCAGCTTGACAAAAAGAAAGACTCGTGCGTCTCGACGTCACAGGGACATTACCATTTTATTAAAGAAACAATAAACAGTGCTTCTTGGAACGCCTGTCCTCCAATTTCCTTGTTTCTCAAGATTATGGCTAGTTATCGTGTGTCTCGTTTAACGCTAATCATAAATATCGGTATAATCCATCGAAAAAACGTAACCGCAAAAATTTAATTACGTCTGGGTGTTAACGACCGACATGATCAATGTCGCGCACCTTCGGCGACTTCCTTTGCCATTCCAAATGCTGTTCCCCGCTTTTTTTCCTCGCCTTGCATTCCTATTGCATGAATTATTGATGAAGATCTCACGCAGAAACTCACGGTTTTGTCGGGGCTCGTTTCAAGAGTGGTCGCAGAACGGATTTGAATTGTCTTCGTTGACTTTTCTTTCACCGTTGCCAACGACGACCGACCGTGTCTCTTTCGCGATTCTTGTGCGTGATGCTAACGTGTTCGTGAAGATAATTCCACGAAAAGATCGTTTCTTTCCGTCGTTCTCTTCACTTATTTCCTCGGCCACTGGACAGCCGATGGAACGCTCATGTTCATGGAAGATTCGCGGAACTGGTGTTTGAAAAATGCGTGCTATTTCTAGTCGACATCTAGCGCATCCTCGGCGCCGTTGATTTGACAAAAAACCTAGAGATTCGTATGTTTTCTTTTACACCCCGAGAAACGGTTTCTTTCTATTCCATCAGAAGTACCGTAAGAATGAATGGTATTCAACTTTTCAGTGAAATTCTTCATTAAAATTAGATTAGTAATTAACAACAAACAAACTAGACGTTCAAATGCTCGCTTTAAATACGAATTTAAAAATGCTGCTCCCGCTCATATTATTCCAGCTGCGCGCGCATACATTTCACGTAGTAAACAAACATGGCGGCAGGGAAGTTGTTACGAATACCGCTTCCGATTGTTTTTTGCATTCTGTCACGATTTCTGTTGTTCGTAAAACTCGTGTCTGTTGTGATTTCATTGTTTAACGCGTGCGCTTACCGAGGAATGTATTATTTTCTTGTGTGTCATAGTTTATCGGTGAAATTGGTAAGAATCGTGATACACGTAAATAAATTGGCGGGAAGATATCACATCGTTTATTGCTTGTAACGTGTGTCCCGTTGGTCGGTATACGTTTATTTTACATAAAATTGACGTTAATATATACGACTCGATAATCGTGGCGATGTCAGTATTAATTCGTAACGTATCACGGTGACGCGAAGTGTCACGGTAGCGAAGGTTTTGCCCGAAACATGAACAGGTGTCCATTTTGACACGCGTAGTGGCTCGGAGCATAAGTGTCTCATTTAGTTGCAAGTACATAGCTCCGACGTTTGGTTTAGCATGAGGAATATCATTCTCTCGTACCTTTTATCTTTCATACCACATCTAAGCTTGGACAGTGAATGAGAGAAATCGTGACAAAGTAGCAAATGTGCAAAAGGTTGCTTCGATGTACGTGTAGTGTTCGTAGTGTGATTGAACTTTCTGTTCTACTTCGTGGGATGGCCACGAGCAGCCGAACTTCGCATAGAGGGACCTCTACAGAAGCTGGTGAAAATTAACGTAAGTACCTTATGAAATTTTTAAACAAATTGCATGGGTACATTTGAACGCATGGTGTCTCTGATTACTCTGACAATGTTTTTGTTTTTCAAACGTAAGAAATATACATTGAAGTACCACGTAACGACATTAACAAACGATTGAAGACCAGATGTATAAATAATACATATTACAAATCTTCGTGAAACGTTTCAAGGTTACATGACGCACAGTTCAATTTCGATTAAATAACGGTTTATTCGTGCAAACCCCCATGCCTATTTACCACACAATACATTCATACAAATTACTTATTAAGGACTAATTGTAATTCCACGGTGAATGCCAAAAATCTCTGCGCGTGTCTCGTTTTGGATGGAATTCACTCACCTCTGGGTCGTTAAATCGTCCTTGCTACCATAAGAGGAGGTTAATTGTATAGGAACTAACGTGTTAATTGGCGGTACGTCCTTGAGATAGCAATAATCGATGAGGAAGCACATCGAACAAATTGAATCATACATTCCCTTCCAAATTATAGTTTTTGTCCGAATTTTAATTGCACGGATGTACCATAAGAGTATACTAATGACTTTACGTAACTTTTAATAGGATTAAAGTAAGGTCTAATAAAGTCTAGGTAGGAATTAATTTCGACGGGCTAAAAAAAAGAACAGTTATAATCCTCTGTAGCTTTTAACACGTCCGCAATTTGGCTCCGTAGATAGCTCGAAGAACCGAACGGCAAACGAGAGTGTAGTCGCGAGACAACGTTAACCATTCTCTTTGTTAATCGTACAAGAAAGTAAATCGTTTGAGATAAAATAAATATAACTCACTAACCAACGTCTACGATGTGCTGAAGCGTCGGAAATCGTCTCTTCACGCGCAATGAAATCCTCTGCAAGGTGATGACGTACGCGAGCACCGCGTACCTCACGATGTTCCTCCTCATCAGTCTGCCTCTCTCATCCTGCAAATGTGAAAACATTTCAAAATTATTACCATCGAACACTTGCTTCGGCCAGTCAACATTCGCAGACAAAATAACGCGACCCGACGAACGTTTCTTGACTAATGAGCATAGAACAATAATTTGACGCGTGATTCTATAAATCATCGTAATGTTTTCTTGCTGAAAGTCAAAATCGTTTCGATACGCTTCGTGAATACTTAAGAGAGTCTATACGTACCAAGGATTTCTTTGTTTATGGAATAAAAATTAACAAATTTGCAGACTGAATAAATATATTGCCATTATTCTTAAACAAATGAGTGTGAAGAATCCGTACGAAATCGAGATCGACGAGGCTCGTTTGCTTGAAAATTTGTTTCCGAGGCCGCACGAATGCCGAACACGTTTCCCGTGTCTTCTACACACTTTCCCTTGTTTCTGTTGGCCCGTGATCGCGAATCGTCGCCGGTTTCGAGTCGATTTCAATATTAATCGTAGAAAAACTCACGGTGGCGCCTGCCGGCTATTTTTCCTTTCGTTTCTGGCCAACAACGCGCATTTTGTAACCGTGTAAGCGTTTTATAACCAACGCTCACGCTCGCAACACGGAATATCAATTTGGTCGGAAATCATTTCGATTGCTGGATCGAAGGAACAAGAGTTTTCGCAGGTGTACATCATCGTTTTTCCGCGTGATAATTGATTAATTGTTAACACGTTTGATATTGGTTCAAATGATACGACGGTCCGTTTGTTTGGTTTCATTATCAATGTAACATGCAAAGCTATTGTCATGTTTATTAATGTATTATGTAGCTGAAACGCTTAATGTTGTGTACACGAACAAATGGTTTATGCAGTCGTTTTTATCAAACTCCAAGCTTCATACTGATATAAGTTCTATTTTTCAATACTTTTCTGTTATGAAATCGTATTAGACTTTTCACGTTTCGAAATCAGTCACTTGATATGCAACAAGCTAATAAATATCGTTATCGATTGTGAGGTACTAATATGAATAAGTGAAATTCATGAAAAAAATGGTTTGAAACAGTATTTGAAATCTAATATTTGATACATATCTCGTTACATAATCCTAAGTAGACGGTGTAGTCCGCGAATGTATTAATTGAACAGCAGCTCGCGTCGAATCGTTACGTATGTGGATCACGATAGATCTAGATGAAGTATTTTGTGGATCGAGGCACGTCTCGTCAGCTCGATACAATGCATGCGATTCGAGCGAAGAAAGTTTTGTCGAAACTAACATTTTTCGTCTAGCTAATAACACGTCGCCGTTGCGCCACGTACCGATTTCAGAACGGTCCGTCCGGATCTAAAGAAGAAAGTCAGTTGGTGCGAAACGAGCGGAGGAAACACGATTATTCCTAATTAATTACACCTATTTGCGCCGGTATGTTTCGCGAGCATTTCAACATCGTCGCTCGTTTACGCTTCTAACGATTGAATTACGCTTTCTTCAGCTTTACGTTAATTACGAAATATGAATGACTCGTACGAGTTATGAACAGGTTGATTGACTTATATATATATATATATATATATTTACAATAAATTAAGAATATTTCTTGTTCGAAATATTTTCCTTTAGTTTGGTTAAAAAAAAAATGGGGTTATCTGGATTCCATAAGGAGGCTTTTTTAAACGTTTCACGATCATCAACTAATTAGTTTCACCTTGGCGTAGGTTCTTCGCATTCATCGCCCCAAGCAATGCCAAGCTATTGATCTCTTCAGGTATTCGAAGCTCGCAAAGCAATTTGTTTCAAAGGTTACTCCGAGCATAGGTGGGATCTAATATTCGAATATAGCATAACTCTTCGGTTTCGAACTGGCAAAAGAGAAACTTGGATTCTGACTATATTTCCTATAGATACCAAGAATCCGTCCGGAAGGTCGGCGACGCACGGTACTTAACATGGTATTCCTCGCGTTTGTATTTCTTTCGCGATCAATCAAGCCTATTTTCCTACCGTTTCGTCCGTTCTAAAGACAGACGTTCCTTCTTCCTTGGAACACGCCGCGACTTAACGTGGCGCGTGTAAAAATGCACGGCTTGGCAGCTCGAAAAGGATCCTGCTCGCGGTGGGGACGGTGGGAGTCAGTCCTTCTCACCTCAGGGCCTGAATTCCAATTAGATTTCAATGAAAGGCACAGCCCCAGAAGAAGCTCGTGCTGCCCACTCGACGTTCCCTGCTCATTCACAAATCGGACACTTTACGTTGCATGACCACACGAGCACCGCTCTTCCACGTACGCGTAACATCACAGTCCCGTTTCGTGGTCCGAGAGACCTTGTTCCTCGACTCGCAGAAATTCCTCGAGCTTGCAATTCCGAGAGGACGCTTAGCTGGTATTCTTCGCGTTCGAGCGACAAGTGCAACTTTCTCGAGAGGGTTCGAATAACGCGCGCCTATGTAACCGTTTCACCGTCGAAACTGCTAACGTGGCGAGCGTATAACGAGCTCGAGCGTTTTACGAGAGTATTGTTAAGAGAATGGCTGCAAAACTTGTTACACAAGGAAACGATTAAATTTTCCAGCGTTCACTTCGTTTAAAGTTTCAAAGAACGTCGATGAACCGTGATTATCCACGATGTGTGTAAGAAGTAGCCGAAACTCTAATAGCGTATAAAATGAAGGATTTATCCAAGTGTGTACTTGACTTTATGCATTTATCAGCTTCCATTTTACGGTTAGATGTAGTAATCCGATGGAACAACGAAGACGGATCGGACGTTCTTCGTCGTGCACAAAGTGTGTAGAACGCGTAGGTTCGTCTTTGTTTCTCCCCACGATACACGTTGCACTTTCACTTCGACATTGTGTCGTTGACCAGGTAGTCGAAGATCGTTCTTTCAGTCAAATTCGACGATGTCCTAAACAGGTGGCACGATTCACTTACGCCGTGAGAGATTCACAGCCAGCCACCAAGGAAGAAGGTAGGGAACGAACTTTCGTTATCGGCTGATTCGTCGCGAACAGAGAAAGTAACGACAAAGTGCGACAATTTCTCGTTGCCGATCGTGCTGGAGGTGTCGCGTGAACACGCGTGCGAGCGTGTCTCGAATCGCGTGCCAAGGGTCGCGGCGAATACCGCACCGTTCCTCTCTATCGTTCGACTTATCCGTTAGCTCGTTCTCCAAGAGGAACAAGAAGATTTGTTTCCTTGCCAATTATAGGATGATCGTTCCGCGTATTTCTTCTTTCTTCTTCTTTTCTCGTCGATGTTGGGCGTGGCGTGACTCCGAGCTGGCACCTAACTTAGGTTAACGACACCGAAACGTGTCACGGCAATTCATTAGCGTAATGAGACAAACGCGCCGCGTACGAGCAAGGCTAAGTTCGTCGTTTCACGCGACACTCGGACTCGATAAACTCTATTCTTTTTCTTCGACGATTTGTTTTTCTTACAATGAAAAATGAATTTTTTATTGTTTCATATGGTACTTACGTTGCCTGGAATAGCCGCGCTGATGAACAGGGCTAAATTGTCCGGCCATGGTAATAGTTTGTACTGTTCCCACCATCGCTTCACCACCAGACTCACATAAAATCCCAGGACGAACGACATCGGTATCGATTCGCTCGAATTGCCGAAGTAGTACCTGATTTTTTCGAATATCCTGCAACAAACAATCGTTTAATTAATAAAAAATTTTGGAATAGCAGTTATAGCATTGCAAACTTAAATTGAAATGTTTGCGCAAAAAGGTGTACAATTAAATATTTGTGTTAGATGTTGGTATATCACACATAGTGTAATACAAGTGGAGCAAGGTTGAGGTGATACCGCCATTTAATGAGACCGCTACCGATCTTACGTGCCGATAACTATTGCTAAATGGGAATTTCCATTAAGATTTCGCGGTTGCACGCGAAAATTTCCTGATACCGTTTCTCATTCTTTGCTGTATAATATAATGTACTAATAGACATACATCTGGATCAATATCGTTGAATACATTTGCTTCAAATTCTTAGCACTGATTAGTAACGTTTCATGCTTTTCATCTACTGTTTGTACAGTTGTATTTGTCTTACAACGATCTTATATTTTTTCTGATACTAAATACAAAATTATCCCCCAAAAGTCGTAACCATAAAGAAACCGATAATCTTTTCGCTTGGAATAGATCACAAAGTATCAAAAGTATAATAATACAGTATCGAATGATCTTACGATCGAAAAAATCTTGTTAGAAGAATGAAATTTACCGCTCGAAATCTTTTAAATATACGATCGAGAGAGGGTTTATATGGCGAATCCCATATATGATTGTTCAGTTTGTTCGGGCCCTAACCCAACCTCGAACCGGCCCTTTGGTTCTAAATTTAAACCAAGCGAATCGAAGCTGCTCAAAGGAGATACCTTTCTGCATCCACGGTCTTTGGCTCGCGCTTCTTCGTCCCTCTGCACCTTTTTTTTATTTTTGCATAAATAACAGGTTACGTTTTTATGCGTTTTTTAATACCGTTCCCAGACGAGCCTGAGGCACATTCCAGCCGTGTATTGTGTAAAACGGTCCAGCTTTTGTATACCGTCAGAAGTAACAATTTTATTTACGATATCCGCAATTTAAGTAGCCACGATATATCTGAGATGCAAGCGTGAAGTATCACGTTGTTGGCATTTCCTAGTACATGTAACCCTTTTGCAACACGAAAATCCGTATCGTAAAAATTTTCACACGAAGTTTCACATTGTACGAGGGTTTCAGTAATTTTTAATATATTTAACTTCATTAGTTACAAGTTGCACATTCGTACATTCGTTGCTTCCTGTAAACCGTGGCTCTTTCTTTCTCTACTTCTGAAATTTAATCGGTCGCACGAGTCGTAATTACGTAAATTGACATTTATTTCACTCGTTAACGGCCGGTTCGAATCGCGAGCAAGTTATCACGAGCATAGTAGAGTCGGATGCCGCGTGGAAACGCGGTAGTAAAGAAGAAAATGTCCAATCTCAGCGGGTTGTACGTTCACGTGCAACGGTATTCATGCTAATAAAACGTTATTCGATGAAATGTAATCTCGATCAAAAGTACCGGAGGCTTTGGCTTCGTTGCTCGATCAAGGTCGGTGTCGCATGGATTTATCTGCGCTCCTAAAACTCGCGGTTACAACAACTTGTAACCCACGCATCAACTTTGCTTTTTATCCGTATGAGAAACGAGGGTGGCTAATGTTTACGTCTCGTTGACAAAAGTACTTTGTCGTTGTCGCAAGGATGGAACCGAAGGCTACGAAAGGATGTTTCGTTTATTGGTACGTCTTAATTTCAAGGAGATGAGCCACGTTTTTGTTCGACGCGTTATTCCTGACCGGTTAAGGCTTCAGCCTTCGGGTGGCCGAAGGAAACTTGGCGCGGGAAAGGTATTCAAATGAACGTATTCATGTACTCACACCCGCTGGTGCTCGTTGAGCGCATATCTGTATGTAAGATTGATGAGGTAGTAGACGAAAAGGTAGACCAGTAGTTCTCGCCAGATTAACTTGTAAACAGAGCCTCGCCATCTGCAAAAAAAGAACAAATGAATATTATTTATTATTCATATTAGGATCGCGTGCTAATTAGAGTGGTTCTCAAGAAACATCCGTCATGAAATACAAAAACGAAAGCTCGAAATTGTTTTCCCTTTCAGTGATCGGCAATTATGATGAAACTCCTAGCGATCGACGCCTGTTGTCTACACGTTTAGAAATTAGGCAGTAGAATGCTAGTTGCGCAATCACCTTTTAACGATAACGATAGGATTGATTAAAGATAGACGGCGTATTTAAGGAACTTAAATTCCAAATCAATTTGTGTCAGGGTTGGACCGATTTTACGAGCTTCGAGTACACTGAATTCGCAATAATTTCGTGACGAAACGTTTCCTTACATTCGCCAAGTTACACGTGTCCGGATTCATTGTTATTCCTGTATTTTATAGCATCATTAAACATCGTTTGCCGATATAATTGCGGCGGGTATCTATGTTGAATATCATCGAAGGACGATAATACCAGCCGAAGGTTTCGTCAATACCAATCACGAAGCGGCAATGACTTTACATTCAAATCCCGCAGCCTGTAGATAGCACCGACGAAACGTAGTGCAAACGAGGTCAAAGTGAAAAGCCGTATTGCTATACATATCTATATTATTTGAGCATAGGTCTGTGACACTCGAGTAAACAGCTTGTGAAAAATAACAAAAAGTCTAAATAAACTTTCATATTTTATCGGGAAAATAAGTGAAAAAATTACACCGTTCAATTGAGGAATACACCTGTATATTTCGACAGCATTGAAATTCCCATGGAAATAGAGAGGTATGAAAAGCACGTCGGATATCCGGTTGTATTCAGCTCTCTTCACCCTAATGTATTCACAAGACCGTAACGATACATGTTGAAGATTCTCGGTTCGGTGAAATTGTTTTTAATGGAACGTTTGATCATTGATCGTGCTAAAAAGTTATGTAAATGATACCGCGAAATATCATCTACGGGCTTGATACACAGGTTCCTCGAAGATGTTTCTATCGATGACGGAAATTCCGAAGAACCGAGCCCTGTTGGTCATTTTTTGGCGCCGTCACCGAAATAAATATCTCCTGGAAATGAGTGAAAGTATAGCGGTACATTTTTACCATCCTTCGAAGTACGAATACGGTGAATTCCGTTTCTCAAAACACGTTTCAAAACTTCGTAAACAACGCGAGATTGTTTATCGAACGGCCGCGTATTTTCGACGATTTTCGCGTTTCAAAATCGACCCCAAATGTTACGCAATCCCGCGTGAACAATTCCTCGGTGTTAGATGAGAAAAGAAAAGTCTGCTATGAGCTACACGAATATCAAGTTATTCCTTTGTTTGTGTGTCAGTGGGTCATGGTAGGAAGTATTGTCCCACACCATTCATACGACGCGTGATCCGCGACCACACGCTCGTAAAACCCCCGCGTGTTGCACGCGTTACGCGACATTTCTGCGTGCACTAACCATTACGTTGCCACTTTAGATAGAGTCGCGTCATAATTAACCTCTCCGCACTCTGCTCGTACAAATTTACGATAATTATGTCTCGGGTTGTAATGAAACTCGGTAATGAAAGCTACTTGCACGTGGACATCTTGGGGGATTTAATCAATCTCCGATTTGTGTGCAAATATTTTAACCGAGAATGTGAAATATTCGCACGCTCATTGGAATTTGCATATGACGTTAACGATGCATAAAACTTACGAACGACATGTTCATTAAAGTCCTCCTCAATCGATCGGTTCGACGAATACGCGTCAGGACGATAAATCTGCTCGTTCGCGTGGCTAGGCTCGATTAATTTGCCTCGTAATCACTTGAAAAACTTTCCATTGTTGCGATTTAATGGACGAGTTATCCGCATTGTTACAAAATCCATTCGTAATCCTCATCGTTGAATAATCTACCGTCGAAAATCCTAACATACGCGATCTATCTATAAATCCTGTCCACCCTCATTGAATTGGTAAACCGAGGTTCGTGTAAACCGAGAAAACTTGCCGGTTGATTTATGAAGTATTTAGTACGTAATAATGCAGGAGGATGAGCGTAATTAAACGGGCGACCCGATGGCGCTGCATACTTAATCACGCCGCTAAAGATGTTTCGTTTATTGCGTCATTGTCGAGCTAGCATCGCGTGATCGCGAAACACACCCACGCTACGGGGATTCATCCGTTAAAATAACTTCACGTTGCACAATTTTACAGGAAACTCAAAAATTTATCTATGACTAATTCGAAATTTTCAACCGCAACAAATTCGTATTCTCCGGAAAACTTGGATCGTTCCTTTATAATCGTCCAGAAGAGACGTTGACGCAGATCGTAAAGATCGACGTGCATACATTGTGAACGAGTAATGACGTATACGAGTGAATGGGCGAGACGCGAGGAGACCGTATATAAAGAGACCAGGTGTCGAGCATTTATGCAAGATCGTTATAACATAATACTAGAGCGGTCATGTTGCTTGGCGTAGAAGCGTTTCCTTTTTAGTCCTTTCTCTACTTTCTGGCTCGTGGTTTCCTCGCGAAGTCACACCTTACTATCAAGCACTCGTAACAGTTCCACGCTTTAGACTTTGATATCAATTATTTCTAATATTAATGAGAGTACGATGGTAGTCGGAAAGCAATTTTTCAGAGTGTTTAATATTAAGTTTCTTTAAGACGGGCAGAGACGCGTAGGAAGTGACTGGAAACGGTATAACTGCATTGGTATCACTACGGAATGCTAAATATTGTTGAAACGTGAGTCACGAGTCGCGTTGCTCTGGCTAACTGGCCAACAATGCTCTCTACCTTTGCTAAGTCGATTATTTATCGTCGTTTCGCCACGTTCCTAGTCTTTGCTGCGACAATGTTTCAGCAAACGATCTGAGATCGAGATCTCCCTGGCCTGCGTGCCGTGCGATACCTTTATCTCTGTTTGACACACCGACGTAATAAACTTTCGTTAATTTACATGAACCACGCAACAGTGACATTTACCTAGCCCCAACTTAAACGTTGCAAAATATGTAATTACGGACGATAGGAGAAGTGTCCTCTTCGCGCAAAAATACGAATAAAGAAACACACTTTTCCTCGAAAAACGATCAATTTTTACGTCGCTCGATTTGTTTACTAATCGTAGTTCAATGTTTGCCGTGTTTAATCGCAACGACCCTCGAGCGATAACGTGATTTTTATCGCGCGACTCGAAGACCATCGACGGCGTTCGTGCGTAGAAATGGCCGCCCGGAAAACGTTCGATTCGAGGAAAGGCGCGACAATAAAAGCAACATTCCGCCCTGTGGTAATAGGGAAATAAGGAGCTTGATCCATGTTCGACAACGTAAAGTAACGGTCCACCGGTCAAGGCTCGTCAAGGCCTTTTATCGCTCTTGTCGACCACTTTTATACCTTGCTGTGTTACACAATTTCCTTCTTTCAATTGTTTCTCCTCCTTAATCCCATGTTCATACGCTAGTTTTAACCCTTTCTCTACGACCCGTGCGGTCTTATTTATGTATCGACGCAAAAATGAATAATTATCAAGCTCCCAACGAGCAAGTATATTTCTTTAGGGTATAAAAACGAACAATGGCTAAATCATTTATCAAACCATTGCCTCGATCGCCGATACACCATAGACTACTTTCAGTTGAAACGTTCCATAGCTAAAAGGTGAAGCAGATTACATCACGCTGTTTTACCGAGACAGTCTGTTCGCTCGATACGAAAGCGGAAGTGAAATTATAATCACGACGCGGATGTTTGAACCCAGTCGAATCTGCCGTTCCATCGGTTACCTATGCGCGCTTTAAGACCGAACGGACACCGGTGAATTATTTATGAAAGCTGGAAGGAACCAGTCTTCTATCCTTTCCTAGAAGAGGTCTAGAAAAGGAAGCTACTAGATTCCCTCCTAACTTTTCGCGTGACATAATCGATCCTCTTCGACCTGTTCAACCAGACGAGAAGAAAATACTTCACCAGACTAGACAATTCAGAGGAATCCAGTTCGGGTGAAAGGCAGTCGCAAAAATTGCTTTCAAAAATTTCACGCTGTTCCTCTGTCTCGTTCAGATTTCACGTATCTTGTTTTACTTCTTCCAATTAATTTTTGTTATCGTCGAGTTAATCAAGGTAGCCACGATCGGATATCGTCGTAGCTGCTGGCGTAATTCCTCGAGTCATCGTCGAGAAGTATCCGTTTCCTCTTGCCTTCTTTTATGGTCACGGTCATTGAGCCTGGATGTATTTTCGATAAACCTTTGTGATCCATACAAATACTCAAATTTACTATAAAAATTTACGTGTAAAGAAAGAACACGTTTTATACTGAGCAACGCGAAATCAACGAGTCAAGGTTCCATCGAGTTAGATCCGATCAAAGTGTATTTACGACAGTTCCTTGCCTCACGTACCGACCATCTGACATTGAAGGATAGTTCCCAGTTGAATTATACTAACGTTCGTCCCGCTAAAACGACCACTGGGAACGGATCCTCTTTTCCTACATCGCGGTACTTTAAGTGTTCCTATAAACGCGTCGTTCGCAAGAAGCTCGAATCTTCTCGGTGAAACAAGAAAGAAGAGGACTCAGAAGAGGAAAAGACCCTCTCGGGATGTAGAAGACGAGCCATCTACGGTTTCAAGAGGCGGAATGCGATAACTAGTCGTCCTCCTCGCCGTCTCTCTATGGCTTTTTATTTATTCGTCCGCCGAAGACAATAGTCGTGAGAGGGTGGATTTCCAGGGGAGTAGATGAACTTTTTGACATCGATCGTAGACATAGTCGTGCGAAGCTGATTCGAAGAACAGCGAATGATTCAATACAGCGATCTCGAAGCAGGAAGAGAACTCATCCGCCTACGAACGTCGGCTGGTAACGAGAACGAATCCCGATAAGCATCGAGAGTTGCGAAAGCGAACTCTAAACAGGTGTTCGAAGAGATACCGATGCAACACGTTAAACTATATGATAGGTCTCGCGGCGTGGG